CATTCAGTCAAGCTTTGCTCATTTTAGGCGAGGGCAAGAAACAAAAGTCCGACTTTAGCGTCATCAAGATGAATCACATCAACATGAAGGCATACAATTCGAAGTGTGAGATGCGCCAAGCGTTGACTAATTTTGTCTATAAGGATCTGTTAAACCGAAGTGGGTCGTTCAACGATGAAGACCTTACGTACCTGAATGAACGATGTATTCTAGCCCCACTCAACCGTGATGTGAAGAAGCTTAATGACGAGATTTTAGATAGGCTTCCTGGTATTGCGGCAGTCCTCAAGTCAATTGATACGCCAGACCCAGATGGAGTTGGAAGCTTGCCGGAGGAATGTTTAAACAAACTTAGTTTGAGTGGTTTTCCCGATCACGAGTTGAGGATAAAGGTTGGAATGCCTCTTGTGGTAATACGGAATATGGATATCAAGAATGGTGTTTGCAATGGTTCGCGAATCATTGTTGTGGCCTTTGGTGTCAGTTTTATCACAGGGAAACTAATGTCTGGACCATTTGCGGGTAATGAAATAACCTTACCTCGAGCTAAGCTCCACAATAAGTCAAGTGGCCGCTCCGGTCTCTCCTTTTTTCGTTATCAATTTCCGGTCGCACCTGCATATGCCATGTCGGTCAACAAAAGCCAAGGTCAAACTCTCAACAAAGTAGGAGTTTATCTCGAAACCGATGTCTTTTTGCATGGCCAACTCTACGTTGCAGTTTCGAGGGTCTCTGATGTGAATAATCTACTGGTGGTTAGGCCGAGTAGAAGGAATGGGGTTGTGAATGTTGTTCACAGGTGTATCTTCAAGGATAAGAAGAAACGTAAGTTTTCACATGATTTTGGTTACTTTTCCATTGAATCTGAGTTTTTGTGAATGTAGGAAGAGCGAAGGATTGTCATCAGATCCTCAATGATGAAGTTGTTGAATTGCCCTGCAGACAATCTGGGAGTCATTTGTAGATACATACACCTTAGTGCAAAAGAGATTAGTGTCTTTGAGGATAACACGTGGAGTGATTATTTCTAGCCAAAATGTTATCTAATTTTCTCCTTCATTTGTCATGTCAATTGATGCATGAATCAGGTATGTATATTATTATCTTGGCTCAATTGGCCTTATTTTGGACAAGATCAGCTATGGTTGGATTATGATTTGCCAAGGGCGTGATGTATTATAAGTAGTTGCAATAGCTGTATAGTATGTTGAATGGGTAATTGTTTGAAGTTATTTTCTGATATCAGTCGTCAATGGGCCAAAGCTCCAACTGGATGTTTGGCCAATTAACCAATTAAGAGGCTTGGGTTTATGTATGGCCCACACATTGTGACATATGGGAGGTCCCAGCATTGGTGATATTGGAGGACAGCGGCGTAGCCGCTTTGGTCTCTAGTGAAAATTAAGCTGTAGAAATTTAAGTGAAAAAAATGTCAAATTTCAGTATTAAAAATGAACCGTTGAGTTTTAAAAAATTTGGCTTACACCATCAAATTCTACACGTATTGAAACCTAGCAAATAAATTTAAAATTTCAAAAAAGCATAAAAAATAAGGTACAAACATGTAAGCACACAATTAATCAAAAAAATGAGTGGAAAAAAAAAATTAATAATTAAAACTTATTTTTATGGAAAATGGACTTCACCATTAAATTCTACGCATTTTTCAACCCAGGAAACAATTTTAAAAAGTTGAAAAAAATTAAAATTAATGGCAAAAATAAATTAATTAAAAATGCGGGTTTAAACACGGAATGCGCGTGTGCTGTGCCGCAGCAAAAGCGCGTCAAAACGCGGAAAATGCGGGTTTTTTTATTAAGGCCCAAAATAAAAAATAAAAAATAAAGGGCCTTAATAAAAAAACGTGGTTTTTCCGCGTTTTGACGCGGTTTTGATGCGCCGCAGCACACGCGGTTTCCGCTTTTAGACGCAGTTTTTTAATTAATTTTTTATGGGTTATTTTTTGAGTTTTTTTGAATTTTTAAAGTTGTTTCCTACAATATAAAAGGCGTAGAATTTAATGGTAAAAACCATTTTTCATAAAAATGAATTTTGATTATTAATTATTTTTTTTCACTCATTTCTCAATTAATTGTTTGCATACATGTATGTACCTTATTTTTTATGCTTTTGTGAAATTTTAAAATTATTTCCTAGGTTTCAATGTGTGTAGAATTTAATGGTGCAATCGAATTTTTTTAAAACTCAACGGTTCATTTTGAATACTGAAATTAGACCCATTTTTTCACTTAATTTTTTACAGCTTAATTCCTATCATTTTTTGACATTTTAAATTTATTTCCCACACTTTAAGACATTTAGAAAATGATGGTAACAACCATTTTTCCCCAAAATGAAAACTATACCTTGAATGCCGCATTTGACACGTTTTTTTTTAATTAATTCATCACTTTTTCACTTAATTGTTTGCATACATGTGTGTACCTTATTTTCTATGCTTTTTTGAAATTTTAAAGTTGCTTCCTACATTTAAAAGTGTGTCAAATTTAATGGTAACATTCAATTCCCATAAAACTCAACGGTTCATTCTGGATACTGTAATTAGTCATATTTTTCAATTGATTTTTAAGAGCTTAATTTTTATTATTTTTTGACATTTTAAATTTGTTTCCTACACTTTCAAACATGTATAAAATTATGGCAACAATGAATTTTCATCAAAATGAAAACTATATCTTGAATAATGCCTTTGACGTGTTTCCTGAATTAATTCTTACACGCTCAATTATCCTTATTTTTTGGAATTTCAAGCTCATTTCCTACACTTTTAAAGGTTTCAGAATTGATGGCTGTATCCATTTTGCATTCAAATAAAATTTGTATATGGTACAAATTATGCAAGAAACAGGGTACACTCATCTATTAAGATTGAAGCTTGTATTTTGAGTGAAATTGGACTTCACCATTCAATTCTAAACATTTGTAAATGTAGGAAATAAATTTAAAATAAAAAAATGCTTAAAATCAGGCCGGTAAAAATCAATCAAAAAAACATTAAAAAAAGCCTGCCCACTGCAGTATTCAGTAACATGCGCTGATTTTTATGTAAAATGGTTGTTACCATCATTTTTATCATGTATTAAAGTGTGGGAAACAAATTTAAAATGTCAAAAAATAATGAAAATTAAGCTCTTAAAAATCAATTGAAAAATATGACTAATTACAGTATCCAGAATGAACCGTTGAGTTTTATGGGAATTGAATGTTACCATTAAATTTTACACACTTTTAAATGTAGGAAACAACTTTAAAATTTCAAAAAAGCATAGAAAATAAGGTACACACATGTATGCAAACAATTAAGTGAAAAAGTGATGAATTAATTAAAAAAAACATGTCAAATGCGGCATTCAAGGTATAGTTTTCATTTTGGGGAAAAATGGTTGTTACCATCATTTTCTACATGTCTTAAAGTGTGGGAAATAAATTTAAAATGTCAAAAAATGATGAGAATTAAGCTGTAAAAAATTAAGTGAAAAAATGGGTCTAATTTCAGTATTAAAAATGAACCGTTGAGTTTTAAAAAAATTCGATTGCACCATTAAATTCTACACACATTGAAACCTAGGAAATAATTTTAAAATTTCACAAAAGCATAAAAAATAAGGTACATACATGCATGCAAACAATTAATTGAAAAATAAGTGGAAAAAAAAATTAATAATCAAAATTCATTTTTATGGAAAATGGACTTTACCATTAAATTCTACACCTTTCATAGTGTAGGAATAAATTTTAAAATTTTGAAAAAACTCGAAAAATAAGCCGTAAAAAATTAATTAAAAAACCGCGTCTAAAAGCGGAAACCGCGTGTGCTGCGGCGCATCAAAACCGCGTCAAAACGCGGAAAAACCGTGTTTTTTTATTAAGGCCCAAAATAAAAAATAAAAAATAAAAAATAAAAAGGGCATTAATAAAAAAACCCGCATTTTCCATGTTTTGACGCACTTTTGCTGTGCGCAGCACACGCGCATTCCGTGTTTAAACGCGCATTTATTAATTAATTTATTTTTGCCATTAATTTCGAGTTTTTTTGATTTTTTAAAGTTGTTTCCTACACTTTAAAAGTTGTAGAATTTAATGGTAAAAACCATTTTCCATAAAAATGACTTTTGATTCTTAATTTTCTTTTCACTCATTTTTTCTGTTAATTGTTTGCTTTAAGTTGTCTACCTGATTTTTCAAGATTTTGTGTAACTTTAAAGTTGTTTCCTACACTATTAAGTGTTTAGAAATTTATTGTGAAATTCAATTTTCATAAAAATTAATGGATCATTTTTAATAATGCAATTACACTCATTTTTTCACTTAAATTTTTAGAGCTCAATTTTCATTCTTTTTTGACATTTTCTATTTTTTTTCTTACACTTTTAGACATGTATAAATTTATGGTAAAAATCATTTTGCATCAAAATGAGAACTACATCTTGTATACTGCATTTGACACCTTTTTTTTATTTAATTCTTCACTTTTTCACTTAATTGTTTGCATGCATGTATGTACTTTATTTTTTAAGTTTTTTTGAGGTTTTAAAATTATTTCCTAGGTTTTTAAGCATGCAGAATTTAATGGCCCAATCCAATTTTTTAAAAACTTGACGGTTTACTTTGAATACTGAAATTAGACACTTTTTTCACTTAAATTTTTACAGCTTAATTTTCATTCTTTTTTCACTTTTTAAATTTATTTCCCACACTTCAAGACATAGTTAAAATTATGGTAGCAATTAATTTGCATCAAAATGAAAACTATGTCTTGAATACTGCATTTGACCTGTTTCTTTAATCAATTCTTACACGCTTAATTATCCTTATTTTGTGGAGTTTTAAGTTCATTTCCTAAACTTTGATAGGTTTTAAAGCTGATGGTTTTATCCATTTTGCATTGAAATAAAATTTGTATATGGTACAAATTATGCAAGAAACGGGGTACGCTCATCTATTAAGATTGAAGCTTGTATTTTTAGTGAAATTGGACTTCACCATTCAATTCTACCATACTTCTCTGATTCACTAAGCGTTTCTAAGATCGCCAAAATCACTCTCGAGAACCAAATCATATCTATGGTTGAAAAATCTGGACTCTCCACATCAAACACGTATAGCAGACAACCGATCTGAGAGAAAACTGAGCTTCGATTCCGGGCAGGCATCGACAAGACGTTGTGCATATACGCTGTAAACTCGCCAAATAATGTAATTGGATAATCAGTTGGTTGGAACTGAGGTTTTTGTTTTCTTTCGTTTTATGGGTCCGATTGATACATACAGTCTTGTCCCCCACAGTCTACTAACCTGATGGCGAAATGACCCAAGAATTTTATTGGGGTGGTCTCCATATCTCTTAAGAACAGCCAAATAAAAAACGACATCAGTGTTCATGCATGGGCTCAACAAAAGGGCATCAGTTCACAAACTAGGAAGCCCTTCGTTGAGAAAAGAGATTTCAGGATGAGACTGACATGGTTGCTCCCAGTTTCCTGGTATCTGCCGCAGCCATATTAGCGAAGATCATATTCCTCATCGACGATTTACCCGATCCTATTGAAAACCCACAAACAAATGGATGGAAGATGTAAGATCAGTAAAGGAGATAAGGGATGATGAATTTAAAGTTTAAAAAAATGCTTCAAATCAGGCCGGTAAAAATCAATCAAAAAAACATCAAAACAAACCTGTCCAACACAGTATTCAGTAGCAAGCGCTGATTTTTATGTAAAATGGTTGCTACCATCATTTTTATCATGTCTTAAAGTGTGGGAAATAAATTTAAAATGTCGAGAAATATTGAGAAATAACATGTAAAGAATTAATTGAAAAAAGTGTCTAGTTTCAGTATTAAAAATGAACCGTTGAGGTTTAAGTAAATTGGATGTTACCATTAAATTCTACACACTTTTAAAATTAGGAAGCAACTTTAAAACTTCAAAAAAGCATAATAAATAAGATACACACATGTATGCAAACAATTAAGTGAAAAAGTGATGAATGTTAGGGTTCTTCTGAGGGGAGCAGGACAGGATCTTCTGGGTTCTGGTTCGTAATGGTAGATTGCAAGATGAGGAATGTACAAGGTTTGGATCTCGAACGAACTCCAAGTTCGAAGTTCGTGACATGTACGTAACAGGCTCTCTACATATGTAACGTCCCCAGTTCCAGTCCTCCACAGCTCATAACACTATCCCCCCTTTAATGCCCAAGCCGCCCCCGTTGTTGTTCTAGAAAAATTTAACTATGGATAAAAAATAAAATAAAAAAAATTCCTCCTCTTTTGGCTCTGCATTCTTTCCCCGGGCAGCGTTAAAAAACCCAGTGGGAAAAAGCTTGCCCTCTCACTTCATTCTCCGTGACCTCTTGTGTCTTGACGCCGCATCCGGAAACTTGATGTTGAATTCGGCGACCAGTTCTCGACAGTGTTCCAAGTTGACCTCGGGTTCCCACGAGTTCTCCTCCGGTCCAAAGCCTTTCCAGCTGACCAAGTATTCCATTCTTCCCCCTTCTCCGACAGTCCAGTACGCCTTCCACTTCCCACTCCTCCTCATTGTTGACCTGTACTGGTTCTGGTGATGGATGGCGCCTTCCAGCGATGGTGTCCGGGTTGTGCTTCCGCAGTACTGAAACATGAAACACCGGGTGAACCCCCTGCATGGATAATGGCAAAGTCAGCTTGTACGCAGATTGTGATATTTTCTTAGAAATTTGGAATGGTCCCAGCCATCGGTGGTCCAGCTTGGGGCTGGGTCTTGTTGTCGAAATATTCTTGCTGTTCAACCAAACCTCCTCGCCGACGTTCCAAATTGGGGTGTCCTTTACTCCTTTGTCGAATTGGGTCTTCATCGATTCCTGAGCTGCTTCTAGACATAACTTGAGTTCTGACTGGACTTCATCAATTTGTTTGAGTCGCTCTTTGACCGCCGGTAGACACTGTTCACTTGATGGGATCCCGCCGTATGAAGGATTGAAACCGTAGTTTGCCTTGAACGGTGAGACTCCAATTGAGACGTGATCATTGTTGTTGTACGCAAATTCTGCCGTCGCCAAAAGGGGTTCCCAGTTGTCCTGTCGGTACTGAACAAAGTGCCGTAGGTACTGCTCCACCGCCTTATTTGCAATTTTGGATTGTCCGTCAGTTCGAGGGTGGTAGGCAGTCGAAGGGTGGAGCCGGATTCCAAGTTGCTTGTCCAATTCTTGTGTTATCTGAGAAATAAAAACACTTCCTCTGTCCGAGACAATTGTCTTTGGTGTGCCGTGGAGTTTCCAAACCTGTTTCAACATAAGATCTGCAAGCTGTTCAGAGTTCATGGACTTGTTGCAAGGAAGGAAGTGGGCCATTTTAGTCAGTCTATCAATCACAGTGAGGATACTGTCGCAATTGTTGGATAGGGGGAGGTCTGTTATCAAATCATAGCTGATGTCCGTCCACGAGCCTGCAGGGATGGGCAACGGTTCCAACGTCCCAAATGGTTTCTGGGTTGAGGATTTGACCCAAAGACAAGAGTCGCAGCCATCCACATAGCGGTTGACAAAGCTTTTCATGGATGGCCACGTGAAGCTGCGGCGTATCAGCGAGAGCGTTTTTGATCTTCCTGGGTGTCCTGCTAACTTGCTGTCATGGCGGCTCCTCAGAATTTTGGTCTTGAGGTCTTCATTCCGGGGTACTTCAATCCGTCCGCTCCTGTAGAGCACTCCGTCCTTCACAGAGTAATGCTTGGTGGCCTCCTTCATTCGACTGGACACTGGGTTCTCACAGGCTGAAATCAATTCGGTCAGTCTGGAATCAGATGGAGTCAGAGATCGGATTTGGCTTATCAGTTCGCTGTCTGTTGGAATATCCTCTGACGGAGTGTTGGGCTCCTGCACACCGAGAATGTCCACTTGGAACCAATGTTCGGCGTCATCCAGATCCACAGACTCGTCTTCAAACCAGCAGTCAAATTCAGCCACTTCAGCGAAAGTGTCGGGGGTGATGTTTTCGGGTCGCAACAGTTGTCCAAAGGTGAGCTCGTCCTCCTTCGAAGGCGCCAGGTCAGGTCGTCTGGACAGAGCATCCAGTTTGGACGACTGTCGGCCCGGTCGGAAAACAATCTCAAAGTCAAAGCATCCCATGGTTTCGGCCCATCTCGCTTGCCTCCTTGTCAGTTGTTTGGTTGTCATGAAGCTTTCAAGGTTCCGGTGGTCGGTGTAGACAATTTCTTGTAGTCGATTTGGGTTGCCCTCTAGATAGTGACGCCATTCCTTGAAAGATGCTACAATTGCCAGCAATTCCTTGTCAAAAATCTCATAGTTCTTCTCGGATTGGACCAGTGACCGTGATAAATACGCCACTGGGTGAAGCTCTTGATCCTTGTCGCAGATTTGGGATAAGACAGTGCCGAGTGCAAAGTCCGAGCAGTCGCATTCAAGGACAAAAGGCCTGTACGGGTTGGCTATCTTCAGTACTGGCGCCGTGGTGAACGCGGTTTTCAGAGTTTCAAAGGCCTTGTTGCACCGGTCGTCCCAGACGTAGGGAGTTTTGTCCTTGGTCAAGTCGTGGAGAGGTCGGGCTATTCCTGAAAAGTGGTCAATGAATCGCCGGTAGAAGTTTGAGAAGCCAATAAAACGCTGTAGTTCGGTCACATTCTTGGGCGGTGGCCATTCGGATACAGCTTTGACTTTAGTCAGGTCCATCCTCAGCCGGTTACATGATATCAAAAGTCCCAAGTATTCGACTTCTGGTCGAGAGAATTCACATTTTTCCGGTTTCAGCCAAAGTTGATGCTTGCTAAGTGTCTCCAATACTCCCATGACAGCCGCTTGGTGGTCGGTTCCCTTCTGCGTGTAGATCATGATGTCGTCCAGATAAGCTGCCGTGTCCTTCCCAATCCGCCCCAACAGGATGTCTTGCATGAAATATTGAAAGTAGCCTGGTGCTCCTGTTGGTCCAAATGGCATAGTCAACGGTGCGAATTGTCCTTGTTGACAGACAAAAGCCAGCTTCTCCTCGTCACCCTCCGCTACCCATAGGTTTCCGTAGGCGTTTCTCAGGTCGAGCTTGGTGAAAGTGTTGGTGTCAAGTAGGCTATCAACCAGGTCCATCGTCAGGGGTAGAGGGTACTTGTTCTTCACGGTAACCGCGTTGAGCTTCCGGTAGTCAAAACATGGGCGTAAGTTGCCGTCTTTCTTCCCGGTGAACAGCACTGGTGCTGCCCAGGGCGAAGTGGTTTGTCTGATGGTGCCGTTCTCTAGTCCTTCAGTGATCAGGGTGTTGAGTGCTTGGTTTTCGGGGGGTGACAGGGGAATGATCCTACTTGCTTGGAGAAGGGCTCCCGGCACAAGGTCTACTCGAAAGTCGTAGATTCTTCTGGGCACTGGACTGGCGGAACATGTTGATATACCGGTGATAGTGGGTCGGGACTAGTTCTTCTGCCGTCTTCACAGGGGTCTTGGCCTTGCTGTCCGCTGCGAGTTGAGCCGATGTTGACCAAGAGGCTTTGGCGGCGCTGACATCTGCGGTTGGAACAGGTTCTAGGAGAGGAAGAGGCTTGCCAGCTGTTTCAACAGAATTTATGGAAGGGACCGCAGCGAACTCACATTGCGGGGGTGTTAACGTGTCAGAAACACACACCCCCTTGCCAAAAATCCTAGCTTGCCTCATGGGCTCCACGCCAATAGATGAGGCCTTTGTTGGAATTGGCAAAACTGGCTCGGCAGTTGCAATGGTCCTGTCTTCGGTGGTTGGGATCCGGTCGGTGGTGCTATGTCCTAGGAAGGGAAGAGGCTTGCCAGCTGTTTCAATAGGAATTTTGGAAGGGACCCCAGCGAACTCACATTGCGGGGGTGTAAACGTGTCAGAGACACACACCCCCTCGTCAAAAATCCTAGCTTGCCTCACGGGCTCCACGCCAAAAGGTGAGGGTTTTTTCAGAATTGATGAAGCTGCATCGACAGCTGCAAAATTCTGTGGGGTTTTCCTGAATTTCCGGTCAGTCCAATCAATGAGGTGTCCATGCTTACGGATCCAAGGCATTCCAAGGATTCCATCGTAAGAGTCTTTCAGGCGAGTGATGATGAATGGGGAAGGAGATGGGTCGGTGTCAAGAGTCAGGTGGATATCAAATGAAGAACGGCTTGAGGAACCGTCAAAACCAGAGATGGTACGATGAGAGGGTCTGGCAATATCAAGGAGTCCCGTAGACTTGGCATAAGACTCGCCAATCACGTCATGGGTTGCTCCAGATTCAATGAGAAAAGTAGCGGGAGGGAGTGGCAATGGGGTTGTGGCTTGAGAATGTTTGTGGGGCACAATGGGCAAAGAAATAAATAAACGCGGATCAATTTGATTTCTTGAAAAAAGTTCACTGGCGCCAATGCTAACAACAAACAACTCTCCACTGCTCAGGATAGGCACCTCCTTCATTCCTGAGCTTCTCCATTTTTTGACGACTCCGCTCTACTTCCTCCTGCCTTCAACTGTTTGACCTCTTCTTCGAGTTCGGTGATCCGGGACTTCTCCTTCCCTTTTCCCTTCTGTCCACGGTCCGGGCA